AGCACGGGCTAACTGTTGTTCCTCCATTACAAGAGAAAAAAAGTCCTGTTACTCAAAAGCTAGATTATTGTTAGAGTTCTGTAATGACTAAATAAAAACAGCCACTGGAATTAGGTTTTGTCAGCAGCCCACTTTCCAGCAGCACTGACTCATGCCTTTCCCAAATAGCCACTTCCAGACTTTCAAGGACACATGAACTAAAACCTTCCTCCATCACCAGCACCAGGTGGAATTTTGGCCAAAATACCACAATTAAAAAAAATAAAGAAAGAAAACAGGTATAAGAAACTGTACTTCTCCAGCTGTCTTGATGTTTTTCCTTCCTTTGTCCATACGTAACATGTAGAGGTTTGCAGATGATAGCGAGCTTTGCTATGTCTCCCCAATTAGTTGGGAAGGGAGGTCCTGGCTTCTCGTGGGTGAGCTGTCACCCCCTTGCTCAGCAATGCAAACCCATGTGCTGCCCAGGCTCCTCACAGCAATCCTTTCTCCAGCACGTTTTGTCCCACCAACCCCATCCTGCGGCCTGCTGGAGCTCTTTCATCTTTGTTTTGAGGCAAAGCTGCAGGAGCCCCTCTCTATTTCCAGGGCTCTCCATCCCTTTTTCAGCCAGTTGTGGCACATCATGAAGAAGCAAAGGTATTGCTCTCTTTGTTTGAAGCTGTGGATTGACGAGAGTATAGCTGAGCCTCATGCTGCTGGTCTGTTCGTTTCTCCCAGATCCTTCGGCATAAGGAGAGCTGGGCTGTGAGCTGGAGGAGGCAGAAGTATCTCACCTGTTTCCCGCAGCAGTCCCAGGGGCCTGCTCAACCTCTGGAGGCAGGAAGAGAAGTGACACAAGCAGCCAGTTACAGGGGGATTTCCTTCGGGCAGGGTGGACATCAGCTAGGGAGATGGAACGTCCCTCATTAAGACAAGACAGTTCCAAGCTGGCCTAAAATAGCATCTCTCTCCAGAGCTGGCAGCACCATGCTTAGCATCCCAAGCTAGGTCCCACAGCTGTGTTCAACAACAGCACCCGTGACACAGTCATCCTGCAACCCCAATTCGGCCTTCTAGAGCTGCTCAGCAAGTTCCCAGAAGTTTCTCAGAACATCCTCGGCAGGGCCTAATCAAGCTGGGATTCAGGCATGCCTGAAAATTTCTGCCTAATATCTCAAAATGCAATGAAGAGCATGTCTACAGCTGTTTTAACTTGGCATTGCTCTTCCAAAAGTTTCTCCTGTGAACAAGGGTCTGCCACATGCTACTTGCCTGCCAATTCACGTTGTCATGGGTGTCGTGAGAGTTTCCATTTTTCTTGAACTTCTGGCATGTCAGAGTCTCAGTTTCCTATCTTAAATTGCTCCATATTAAGCTGCAGAATCAGCTTCCTTGCAGAATCAGACAAAGAGATGAACAAACTCGACTCCCCAAAAGAACATCTGTATTTGGAAAGGAAAGAAAATCTCTTCCCTCCCTCCCCCAGGCTGCTTCCCTGATTTTGCAGGGACTGACTCATGAGTTTCAAATGCCTGGGGCTGACAGTACTGCAGGCACAACTGCAAAATGAGAGCCATGGCTATGAACTTCTCATCATTAGCAAACTGCAACAGTTCCGGCAGACTAGACAAATAATATAGTCCACAGATAGCTACAGAAAGGAAATGCATTTTCTGTGCTGATGACACTGAACACTTACTTATGAAAGACTGGGGAGGAGGGAGAAGAGGAGGCAATTTCCAATGAGAGTGCCAAAGATGTAATTAATGCCCTATTAGGGACCATTCATGCAAGATGAAATTCATTCCCACACTGAGAGCCGGCATAGATTTACGTACCGCTTAGGTTGCAGTTAACCAGCACAAGGAATGAATTTCATCCAGAGAGCAACGTTCCAGATCCCTGGACGAGACTTTCAGAGCTGCTGCACTTAAAGAGTGAATGAAGCACTGTACATGCCACAGTAGATCCTCAGCAGCGCTGAAATGAATTTTGCTCTGACCTAACAAAAACCACAGGCTCGAAATTCTGATGATTCAGAAATATTCAGCTCGCAACAGGAGTTCTTGCAAAATATTTGGGAACTGCAGGAAGCATTTAATGGTCTCCCTATGTCGAGGGAAGGAATCCTGACCTATCGTCTTTAGGGTTCTTGTCCCTATAAGTGATAATTTTAGAAGGATATAATTAAGTTTGTGGGGCCTTTCTTCTAAGGCTGCTAAAAGAATAACAAGTGACCTAGCTCAGTCCTCTCTGTACTTATTCATGATCCCTTTCTGTTGTGAAGAACTAGCAAGAGAATGGGTGCAGGTCCAGACCATGCTCCCAGTCATATGGGTGCAGCCCCTCACCAGTGTGTGCAGTGGAGGAAATTAATTTAACCCAGCGCAAAAGCTAATTTGGAGAGCAATCCAATGGGACGAGGAAAGTCAGGAGAACCTTATAAGGCTATATGCCATCTCTAACCATGAGTCAAGAAGGTAGGATTTTGGAAGAAAGGATAGAAAAGACCAACAAAGGTGATTCAGAAGACCCATGGCTAAAGCAAAGGTTTAGGACATTCCTAAACCTTACAGGGACGCAAAAACCACTGAAAGGTGATGATAAATTCTGACTGATCTCATCCTAAGAAGAATTCAGGTGGGCGCTCCTTTCATTCCTGTTAGATCAAGGGATGAATTAACACAGTGACAGTCAAAGGAGTCACGTACATCTCCGGGAACAAGCAAGAGACATCTCAGACAGTCAAACAGCACACAATATTGTAATTACTGCATGTTTGTGTCATTGTTACTGCCATCAATTCCTTTAGGAGTGAAATCAGGCTGTTTCAAATTGTGCTGAAATACGAGGCATAAGATTATTTCTAGCTGCTAATTAATGATGGCTATGTAAGAAGCTAATTTGAGCACGGCTGA